CAGAAGCAAAGGGTCTGAGCCTAAGATCCGGTTTGAGAGATCCCCTTTTTGGACTGAGCAAGCGCTGACGCCGGAACTGCCCTAGAACACCTTTTTCGGGCCAGATCAATCAACAACCTTGCTCCTTCCTGCCAAGACCCTTGCCCTAATAAATATTGTTTCGGCCATTGTTCAGAGAGCCATCTTGGCGACACGAGTCCCAGTGTGCTCCTTTGCTTGCCAACCAAATAAAGCTTCTTCTTTTGCTGTCACCCGTTTTTTGTCTCTATAGCCACGCAGAGTAAGGATTTGAGACCCCGGTAACAATTTTAGAATCCTTATGTCAATAAAAGGAGTTACTGTACTAGCTGGGGTGATTGACCCCAGTTATCAAAGGGAAATTGGGTTGCTGCTACAGAATGGGGGAAAGGAGAGATATGTGTGAAATGTAGGAGGTTCTCTGGGACACTTCTTAGTAAGTTCATGCCCAGTAGTAAAGGTTAATGGAAAACTTCAGTAACAACAACAATAAAAAACAAAACACAAAAAAGTCAAGGCAACTGAGAACTCACACCCTGCAGGAATGAACATCTGAGTCACTTCACCAGCTAAAGAGCCCCAAGTAGCTGAGGGTTAGTCTGAGGATGGGGGAAATATGGAATGGGTAGTAGAAGAAGGATGCTATAAATATCTATTATAGCCTTCTGACCAATTACAGAATTGAGGCCTGTAGTAGTTTTAATATTTTCTGTTTTCTTGTTATATGTAGGTATTTATTTGTATATGCTATTTTCTTCTTTCCTCTCTTCCTATTTTTATTTTATGTACAAGTTGTTGGAAATTAACTCTAGTCTTTAGGTAACAGAATATTCGGTGTAACTGTGATTGAATTTGAAAAAAAATTAATATAGCCAGAATATGTACACAGTGACCACTGGTACTTACATCTCCTCATTGTGGGAAGTAAGAACATCTTTACTTATAAGATGGATAGCTTTATTGTGGTAGGTGGAAGTATAGAGTTGTTTTGTTGGATATGGGAGTCAAATGTGTATAAAAAGGATGCATATAGAAGCTGAGTAGCCAACGGGGTGGACTGCACTGGTGATCAATTTATTGCCTCTCAGCTCCAAATTCATTCTTCATTGCCTGCTGATCAATTTATTGCCTCTCAGCTCCAAATTCATTCTTCATTGCCTGCTCTGCAAAAATGAATCTGAGCCTTTAAATATTTTTCCTTTGCCAGTAGAGGGTGATGAAGAGACATTGCAGGAGGAAGGAGTTTTCCATCCTGGTGGTGGTATGCTTGCTCAGCAGGCTCCTGTACTGCACATGGTTTCTTCAGTGTCAGGCTTCTGCAGCATGGGCAGCTTCTCTAACATCCAATTTCTGCAGTATGGTGGAGCCAGCAGCACCCACTGGCCAGTAACTTTCCATGGCATTTTCCTCCAGACTTTTGTGTCTGAAAGTCTCTGGTGAGACACTTGTCCATGAACAGACTTCCCAAGTGTCCTATAGTTCATATTTCTAGCAAGTTTGAGAGGGAAGATTTCCATAAAAATGTGCTAGAGCAGTACCACAGTGAACGCTTTGCCATTCAGTGAGCCACGGCTGTGCCCTCTTCAACAAGGTCTGTATCTCAGCCCTACTGGGACTTCCTTTTTGGACATTCTATCTCATTACTAGGAGTAGTGGCTACTTCTTATATCTACTACTGCTATAATCTTTAGAGTTCTCTTTACTTCTTACTAGCCGATTTCTCATTACTGCAGTCTCCTGTTACAGTTAATAATTATTTATGTTAAACTTTCCCTCATTAAAATTACTATGTGTCCCAGTAGCAATGAGCACAGCCAGCACCCAGATCTTGGTTTTCTAAATACCATTCTCCAGTAAGGGCTTGTTGGAGAAATGGCTGGTTTTAGGACTGGGGTAGGAAAAAATACAAGATGAAACTGGAGTATACTGTAGTACCAGAAAGTAAAGAAGTGCTCAAAACACAAAAGGATGTGGACATATCAAAAGCACACAGCAGATAACCTAAAAGAGCTCCAAATTGCCAAAGGTGGGACAATATGAGCAACAAAATAAATAACATAATACTGACTTATAACCCAAAACATCAAATAAGTATATACAAATTTCCTTAAAACCTCTAACCCCAGTCAAATAATGAGAAAAACACCAGACAAACATGGATTGGGGCACATTCTACAGGACATCTGGTCAGTACTCCACAAGACTGTCAGTGTCATGAAAAACTAGAATGGTCTGAGAAACTATTACAGACCAGAGGAGACTGGGGAGACATGACAATGAAATGCAGTGTGGTTCCATGGACTGGATCATGGAACAGAAAGGACATTAATGGAAAAACTGATGAAATCCCAATAAAATCTGGAGTTTACTTAATAGTAATGTGCCAATGTCAGTTTCTTATTAACAAATGTGCTGTAGTAATTTACAATGTGAAAAATGGGAGAAACTCGGTGAGAGGCATATGGGAACTCTTTATACTATTTTTGCAAAATCTCTATAAATTTAAACTTGCTCCAAAATAAAAAGTTTACTCAAAAAAAATTGCTGTGGTTTCTGTCTCCTGATTGGACCCTGGTTGATACAAGGACCTAGTCCAATTATCAAAGTAATCATTTTATGGATCTAATCATCAAATCTGTGCATAATAACAACCAGAGTAGAGGGAACATAGAAATAAAGTCCTTGGAAGTCAGGGCATTTTAACTCTGCTGCTTAGTGTATTAAAGGAGGCCTGGTGGTGCAGTGGTTAAGCTCTCGGCTGCTAACCTAAAAGTCGGCAATTCGAACCCACCGTTGCTCCATGGGAGAAAGATGTGGTAGTCTGCTTCCATAAAGATTTACAGCCTTGGAAGCTCTATTGGGCAGTTCTACTCTGTCCTAAAGGGTTGCTATGAGTCAGAATTGACTTGACAGCAGTGGGTACTTAGTATATTGCTAGAGCATACATTTTCTTTCAAGAATTATCTGGCCAGCAGTAAACAAAAAGATACATTTCCTAAGGAGTGATGTTAGGGTACATGCCACAGACAAGCACCAAGTAACAAGACCCATTGCTCTAGCCCAGAATACTGTTTTTTCTTATGTGCTTAAAATAGGTGTCAGGAATATTTTTTCTCAAAACATCTTTAAAACTTCAGCTATCTGTTCAGGTTTATTTATGTTTTGGGTTATTATAAATCCAAAACATGAGTTGTAGGGAATAAATTAAAAGTTGCTTCAATGTCATCTTCCAGGATTGAAAAAACATTTATTCTCAGAATTCCAGACACTTCATTCAAAAGTTAGTAAACTCCAAAACAAATCAACAATTTATTTTCTAGAAGGCCTGTATCAGTTCTAGAGAGTCTAAAACCCACGTAGGCTTTTGTTTTGTTTATACAGATACTCTTTAATCTGACTACTTAGCTTGAGGTAGGCTGCAGTCCTTATGAGACAAAGTATGAATACAACTGAAATTATTCCACAGCATTCTTGCCCTGGAATTAGTAACAAACCTCATTGTTCAGATGAAGAATACACTCACTCTTCCCTTTCCTACTAGCTAATGATAAGATTATTTTTCTTCAAAATGTCTAGGCACAACTGAATTTTAAACTGGAAAAGTTAAGGAAAGCAACATCTCATTTGAGGTCAGTCTGCCAGAAAAACGGACATGCGCCAAATCCCATATCCCAAACATTTTGCCTCAATGTCACGTGAACCAAATGCCCAATTTCCTCTTGATCTCCGACAGAAGCGAAGCAAAACCCTGCAAGGCAATTATCCACTGGAACTGAGAAACCTGTTTGGGGCAGAAATACACACACACACACACACACACCTTGTGAAAGGTACAATAACAAAGAATCTTTCACAAGGGGTATTCTTTGCACAGACAGTATCAAGGACTTCCCCTGGAGATGCAGGCTCAGGAGCTGAGAGATCACAAGTCTGAAACAAGAAGTTCTAACAAGATACAGCATAAATGCCCCAATTTCAAATGTAAGCAAGCAAACTTCTTAAAACCAGCTTATACAGACAGCTTGAAGTCCTTTCAGAGTAGTTTCAGAAAATTATTTGGTTGCAGTGTTATCATGAGAATCCGCTAATTTTTAAAAATTGCTATTTCCTTTTGTAAATGTGAAGCTTCATGAATTACATTTTAGTTACACTTCAATTTCCTCTGACAACTTTTAAGGCAAAAAAATGAAGGATAAAGAAACAGGGAGTATACACAATTACACATGTAACAATGAGCGAAGCAAGAAGACTGAAGTTTTAACCGTGGAATTTAGAAAAGCAACTGTATTGCGCGGCATTTCATCATATAATCCTCATGATAATGAATATGGTATGTTAGGTGCAGCCTGTTTATATTTCAAAATACCATCATTTTAGGATTACAACTCTAACATTATGGAGACAAACTATATACTATATTATGATTTGATTTAACAAGAACCATAATGCTCATCAGTTTCCATTTACTACAAATATATCTCCCCAAAGTTATCTGAGCAAGTACTCATTATTCGCACCTCAGAATTCAGAGATAAGTAGATATGCTAAGCCTTGAAAATAACAATTTTACTTCTAAGTTAAAACCAAAAGGTGATCAATTTTAATCACCGAGAAAGTATCTTAGCTAAATCAACAGGTGAAAAGAGAAGTTAGAATACAATAGCTATGTTACCACAACTGCCTTACAAAAGTAAGGTATCTAAATTCTGGACCCTACTCTAGAAAATGCATTCATAGTCACAAAAGTATCAGATTCTTAAGATCTCCTTCTAAGTACCTTTCTTTATACTCAACTGACAACAGTTCAGTATGTAATACATACACACATGTAAACGGAACTGTGTTAATGAGTTGGATTTGGAATCCACCCCATGTTCTGTATCGAGATGAAGAGAAAAACTGTTGGCTCAGGGTAATCTGCAGACAAGGGGGCCCATACAGCAAAAACATCCCAAGACAGACAACAGCAGGTGGGAACTTACCACTGGAGCAGTTGGTCCCACCCCAGCCAGGCTCACACTGACAGGTGTTTGGAGCAATGCAGCGACCATGGACACATTTATCAGCGCAGTGGGCTGTCAGAGAAAAAATCAATCAAATAAAGCAAGTTGGCATGAGAAAAAAACCCGCAACAACACAGCTGTTTCACATCCCCCGTCTCAAGTATCACTTAAAAACAACATGCATGCTTGGTAATTTTCTTCAATCCATTCTGCAGCCCTCTTACAGTCCACTGTATAACCAAACAATTCCCCTTCTTATTTTGATATTGCCAAATAAATTCCTTCATTTCTACTGCTTAATTCTACTCCATGCTGAATTAGGAAAGAAATTTCAAGGAAAATTGCCTAATCCACTTTAAAAAAAAAAATTGTCAATGACTACCAAATATATCCTCTTTGTGTGTTTGGGGAGGAGCATATAGGGAAGCAGTGACATACCACAAGGCAAGATCAGGACTCCAGAGCAACAGAGCAGACCAAGAGGTAACCTTTACACAATACAGTAACCAGAGACAATTGTCAAATTTCTTTGTGAAGATGTTAATGACACAGCAGAAATGTATGCCTTTTTCTGTTGAGGAGAATATTAGAAAAATGTATCTAGGTCCTTGGGAAATTTTAAATCTCAATTCCTCTTTCATTAGCTAATATCTTAGGCGCAATACAACCTTTGGAGGTAAAGGGGCATCATGGCAAACATGAGTGGATGGACAGTCTGATGATTGCCAAAAGCAAAGTTCAGTTTGCTTATACAAAGGCATACCAAAAATATGCTGTAGTGTTCATTAGTATCACCTTCGACCTTCGTGCCACTCACATTGGTTAAACAGACTTTAAAATATTTGGATATGTAAGTAATTGTGAGAATAACTGGGAAGAAGAGTTTTGGCTTCAGATAGTCCAAAATTTATTTAAGAGTGAGATAAGCTACCCTGTGCTTTATAGATAAGTTTTATTAATTTACATCTTATTACAAAAATAAAACAGGTTGTTATGGATTGAATTGTGTGTCCCAAAAATACGTGTTGTAAATCTTAATCTCTATGCCTGTGGTTATAATCCCATTTGGGAATGGGTTATCTTTGTTATGCTGATGAGGCAGGATTTATGTAGGGTGTGTCTTGAGTCAATCTCTTTTGAGATATAAAAGAATTTAAAACAAGCAAGGAAGAAAGCAGAAATGAGAGAAGAGAGATACCAAGCCACATGAAGATTGCCCAGGAGCAGAAGCTCAAAAGAGACAAGGACTTTTCCCCAAAGCCAACAGAGAGAGAAAGGTTTCCCCTAGAGCCTGCGACCTGAATTTGGACTTTTAAAACCAAACAACAAAACAAAACAAAACAAACCTGTTGCTGTCGAGTCGATTCCGACTCATAGTGACCCTATAGTACAGAGTAGAACTGCCCTGTAGGGTTTCCAAGGAGCAGCTGGTGGATTCGAAGTGCTGACCTTTTGGTTAGCAGCCATAGCTCTTAACCACTGTGCTACCAGAGCTCCTGAAATACAATGCTGTCAGTGATAGGATAATATCCATATGCCTACAAGGAAGACCAGTTAATATGACTATTATTCAAATTTACGCACCAACCACTAATGCCAAAGATGAAAAAATTGAAGATTTTTACCAACTTCTGCAGTCTGAAATTGATCAAACATGCAATCAAGATGCAGTGATAATTACTGGTGACTGGAATGCGAACATAGGAAGCAAAGAAGGATCAGTAGTTGAAAAATATGTCCTCGGTTATAGAAATGACGTGGGAGATCTTATGACAGAATTTTGCAAGACCAATGACTTATTCATTGGAAATACCTTTTTTCAACAACATAAATGGAGACTATACACATGGACCTCACCAGATGGAATATACAGAAATCAAATCGACTATATCTATGGAAAGAGATGATGGAGAAGCTCAATATCATTAGTCTGGACAAGGCCAGGGGCTGACTGTGGAACAGACCATCAACTGTTCATATGCAAGTTCAAGTGGAAGCTGAAAAAAATTAAAACAAATCCAAAAGAGCCAAAGTATGGCCTTGAGTATATCCCACCTGAATTTAGAGACCATCTCAAGAATAGATTTGACAATAATGACTGAAGACCAGACAAGTTGTGGGATGACATCGAGGACATCATACATGAAGAAAGCAAACGGTTATTAAAAAGACAAGAAAGAAAAAGACCAAAATGGATCTCCGAAGAGACGCTGAAGCTTGCTCTTGAATGTAGAGTAGCAAAAGTGAACGGAAGAAATGATGAAGTAAAAGAGCTGAACAGAAGATTTCAAAGGGCAGCTCGAGAAGACAAAGAAAAGTGTTACGAAATGTGCAAAGACCTGGAGTTAGAAAACCAAAAGGAAAGAACACATTCGACATTTCTCAAGCTGAAAGAACTGAAGAAAAAATTCAAGTCTCAATTGCAATATTGAAGGATTCTATGGGCAAAAAATTGAACAATGCAGAAAGCATCAAAAGAAGAATGAAGGTCTAAGGTACAAAAAAAAAAAAAAAGAATTATCTATGTGAGATCAAATTGACAACAGCAACTCAAAAGATGTGATGGGAAGTCTAGGGGGCAGTGAGTTGAAGATAATGGTGATGGAATAATTTGGAAAAGGATAGTGAGAATAGCAGCACAACTTGAAGAATGTAATCAATGTCACTGAATTGTACATGTAGAAACTTTTAAAATGGTGTAACTTTGGCTATGCATATTTTCACCAAAAACAAAGTCTTCCAAGATCGAGAAGGGAGAGTGTTGCCATGTCGTGGGGTTGTTAACCAATATCATAAAACAATACGTGTACTGACTGTTTAATGAGAAACTATTGACTGTAAACCTTCATCTAAAGTACAATAAATATATATATATTTATTATATTATAATTATTATATATATATATATAAAGAAGAATGAAGGAATAAACAAAGTTACTGTACCAAAAGAGTTGGTCACTAAGACACCACCTGAAACTCTTCATAAGAAAAGTAAGATGGAGTAAGCAGGCCTAGGACCTTTCCTCCAGTATCAACATAATTTTCATTAAAATGAGTAAATAAATGCATGATAAGTGAAGCATGTTTTCCAGAGGGATGAGATGCGGAATTCCATATGCTTGGATCCCAATTTATTGTTTCCTGTTGCTCTTGTTTCGTTAATTCCAAAAACGATAAATAAATGAATTTTTACAACTGCTCTTATGTTTGATTCCTAAGAGTCTAAAATTTGTGTTTTATAAAATAAATTCCAAGAAGTCCAGTCAATTATAATAGATGAAAATAAATCCTCTGATGATACTTTTTTAAAATCTGTATTATTTATATGAAAACCTTGAGCTAACATTTGGCCAAAGTGTGAAGCAAAATGTGAATAGGTCATTAGCAGAAAACAAATTAGGCTGTAAGTTAACTAGAAGTTAGGAGGGAGAATATGCTTTCCTAATTGTTTCTCCCTAAATTAAAGCTAAAGCTACTCTGAGCATTGAAGCCTAAAGTCAAATAATGGTCTAAATTATAAGAATTATCATTGGGACAGATTCTAAAAGGGAAAGACACAAAATTCTACTGCCATGGTGAAGACTCTTCACAGCATTAGACTGTCATACCTGTGCCATGTCTGCCCTGTGCCCTTCTTTCCACTGTCTCTGGACTCTATATCCAGTCACAGCCATCACCAAGTACCTCCAAGATGGTCAGGAGCAAAGACAGGGAACAGTGGAGAACAGAGTAAACTATAGCATTCTCCATGTTCTCTGATGTCCCAATTCACCAAGTTACAACAACACTAACTATGGCGTATACAGTGACAAACACAGAACTTCTAGGAGATCAGCTGAGCTAGATCCCTGCCCCAGCCTCATCTTCTCTCATTCAGCTTTGGACGACACCTACTCTGGTGCTGAGCTTTCAGTGACTAACAAATTCCACATGAGAAACCGAAGTAGGTTAAAGACATGAATTTGTCCTGCAGAAAATCCCAAAGTGAACTAGAAAAGAAAAGGAACAAAGGTGTATTTTAGCAAATGTTCTATAGACTGGATTTCAAGAATGGCTACAAAAGATCCATCATAAGTGTGGCTCTCCTATCAAGGGAAAAACAGTCATTTATTCCCTATCCACATCTTTTCTTTTTGTTTTTAAGAGGGCAATTAAAACCAGGATAATCCTAGCAAAGATGATCTTCTCAATATCATTTATTTTTCCTTCCCTTCAAGAAAATCATTATGCATCATATTTTGAGTTTTCAGTAGCTTTTTTCAGAGGCCAGCTATAAGCTGAATCTCTGGATCCACACTTAGTGCACTGCTGCAGACACAGGTTGAAAGAGACAGCCGAGGCATCTTCTCCCTCAAGAATGGGAGGCGAGAGATGCTGATGAGAAGAACATGCCACTTCTTTGAAGTGAAAGTTGTGGACAGTTCGTCTGACTGATGAACAGGTGAGGACTGACATGATGACCCTGGAATCATCTGTAATTAGGCTCCTGTTTCAACCTCAGTTCCTAAATCCATTTAAATCCCTTTACCAGTGCCAGGGATGTCATTCCTTTCACTTGTAAATACTTGGCTTTAATACTGAGAGCCACTAACTATACTCAATGGTTTTCTCGTATGCTATATATAGTTCCTTTTGGATATACACCTAGGGTATGGCAAAAAGTGAGAGTCAGAGTCTCTCTCTGACTACAGGCTTCCTTACAGACCAGTATATCCTTATAAACCAATTACATTTCTAGTCACTGTACAATTGTCCCCGACTTATGACAGGGCTCAGTTCAGACAATTCTGTCGTACGTTGGTTCTCACATAAGTTGAATACCTCACTTTTTATTTCTTTTTAGTTTTCATTTCAAAACACAATAGCGTTTTGAACAATAAATCATAAAATTGAACACTTGCAAGTGAACATCTGAGAATGATAACATCGGCAAATTACATGCTGCAACATTGTATGTAGTACATATTACTAATGATAAGATGTACAAAAAATAAAAAACAGACGGTTTTAAGTGCGGTTTGCCGTAACTCAAATTTGCTATAAATTGGGGACTACCTGTACATACTTTGGAC